CTGGGGTAATGTTCCTTAAAACGTAGTTATTCTACGTAGAATATATATATATTTTAATACTAATAACATATAAAATTATATTCAAAGTGTTCTCACAGCATGATTCGAAACAGAATACACAAAAAAGTATCATTTTAGCCCTCCACAGAGGGACATGTCACAGACAGCTGACATGCTGCTCTGTGTAAAGCTGAAATCCACTGCAAGATAAAAGATTTTGTGTAGCAAAACTCATACTTTTCTGCTCCATCTTATACATTACTTAAGAAATGCTGAAGAGTGATTCCATTCTAACACATCTAGGAATAGCTGCAGTTAACATGGGAAAGCAGTCACAGACCTACTACTGTCTCTGGGCTTTACGGTCTTCTAAATGAACAATCAAAATAAAACTTTCATTTTTACTCCTTTCTGCTAATCTGTTTCAAATACTAATCTTTTATTACTATGTTTTTAACTCGCTTCACTGGAGAAAATAAATAAAAAACTAATTGGAAAGCCCTCCATGTAATGACTCCTAACAATAACTGATTAAAAATTTTATTTAACAGTTATGTTTTCTTTTAAAAACCCATCACTTTCTAACATATCTTAAAAACAGCAGAAAAAAGTACACCTAAGAAGCACAGAGAGAAGCCATTTGTCCCCAGACAAGGACATACAGTTCTCACAGACTCACTAAACCTGAACTACTCACTTGAATAAAGATTATGGGATCAGGACATACATTGAAGTTTGTTTCCATTAATTTTAGATGTGGGATTTATTTCTGCTCAGTGGAGGGTATAGTATGTCTCTGTTTGTGACAGAACTTACCATCAAAAAAATACATAGAACAATTCAATAAGCAAGAGGCAAAACCCATCCTACCTTCATATTCAGCAAGGCACACGCACTCATAGCTATTGATGAGGTCTCTGCAGGTGGCTCCGTTCTGGCAGGGTGCAGAAAGGCATTCGTTATATTCCTCTTCACAGTAAAGGCCATGGTAACCTAAATCACACAAAGAGGAAATAAAACAAGCTATGAAACACTTCCCGATAAAAATTAACCATTAAGCAACTATAGATTGTGGGCAGATGCTTGCTAATTGAAATATACTGTGCAGACAGATACATGTCAAGACATTGATTTTAAGGACATGTGCTCCCCAGGTGAAATTACAAAAAAAGTCCTGGAAGCACAATGTTCTGAGAGAAGCCACAGCCACTGCCCCTGTGATAAAGCACAGCAAGGCCGTAAACGTGGAGGCTGGTGACCAAGCCCACTTCGAACAATGCAAATAACCACACTGCGATTGTAAAAAGGAATAAACTAATATTGACGTATCTCCTAGCTTTCTCGGATCCTTGCATCAAAGCCACCTTTTACCAAAGTGGTCATAATTCTATAACAGTAGTTAGAATGATAATGTATTTTAACTTTAATGCTGTATAATGTCCAAACACTGTAGAAGCATTAAGATACTTAATTTTTACAGTATTCCCAAGCCGTAAGCAGGTATTATGGCATGATTATACAGACAAAGTAGGAGCACAGACAAGCTATGAGACCTGCTAATGGCTACTGAATCGTTTGTATCATGAGGTAAGGAGTTACTGCACTTGAAATAGCACTTTTCTCATTATTTAGTGTGTCATATGATCATCAGTCGTAACAGTAGTTGAAATTACTTTCTACATGTGGTGTATCAGGTCAAAGCAGTACCTACTCATATTAATTAATAGCATAAATTAGTATAGTGTAACAGCGGAAATAAACTAGCAGTAATGCTAAAATATGTTTGCCTGATTATATTGGTTACTTAGGATTAAATATGAAGAATCATAAGCCTCATTTTGAAGACTATTATATTTGACACTAAGAAGCTTATTTAATTCCTCTTCAATAGACCCAGGTTATATTTTTGCAATGAAAATTTTCCTCTCTTCTTTCTTTTTAATTTCTTTTCTTTCTCTTTCTTTTTTCTTTCTTAAGGTAGGGGCTTTCCAAGTGCAGAAACAATGTCTAAGTTTATAGGCAATTAATACATCAACAAGAAAAAAAAGAAAATAGATTGGTCATAATGCTTAGTAACTACAAATAATACATTTAAATGCACCATAAGCACTGCTTTCTCCCTGACAGACAAGCATTAGCACAGAAGAATTGAAAAACTGCTAGTGTGTTTGACCAATGAAAAAAGTATGGGACAATTTGCTTGAGTCTTTCTAAATAGTTTCCCCCTTCTTTGGGGGCACAGGGAGTGCTTCGTAATTAGCCAAATTACCTTTAGGGCACAGTTCAGAATTTAATATATTAAACAAAATATGTTCTTACCTTTCTGAAAGTACAAATACAAATAGTACAAATATTTCTACTAAAACATGTGTCTTTCATAATGTTTATCCCCTTCCTGGAAATTACAGCAAATAATTGAGTGACCAGACTTTTGCATCTAGTCTTAGCTACATGTTGCTCATAACTGCATATCAGAGCATCTGACTTGGGGCATCACGCAGCCTACCTCCCTTGCGAGCAAACTAAAGGCCACACAGTTAACATCAACTGAATTGATTGGATAATTAACACAAATTAGTGCTTTGGATGTTTTAGTAAATGATTTGGCTTCATGAAACCATCGCACCATCTCTTTTTTACCCATCCATGAGAAGGTGAGGATAGAAATTCTAGCCCATACTATTGTCCACAGAGTAATCCCAGAGACACTTTGTACACAGTGGTTACTGCACATTCTTTTTCCTGTTGGCTTGTTATTTTATGATGTTTGCCTGGTACTGAAAACAATGTAGACTGGGAAGTTTTTTATTTGTTTTAAAGAAAATCTTGCCTTATTTGTCAACTTTGCTCAATGTTCTTGAAACCTCATTCTGATGAAGGTCTATATTACACATTAAAAAAAAAAGTTTCAAATATGCTTTCATATTAAAAACATTGTTTCACAAAGAACAATCATACAGAGAAGATATGTCATGGTATGTTAACAGTACATAAGAACACACGTCGCACAGCCCTACCACGGACTAATTCTGGTTAAATCAGTTAAACGTTTAACCTTCTTGACTCATCATAGCTGATACTCCCCTCAACCTCCTATTAGTGTGATATAATACCATGAATATGTACTTGTAATCTATAATGTAATACATGCATTAGAACAGTGTTTATACGCTTTTTAAAATCTTGATTTACTCATTACATATAGCTATAAAAGCAATAGATGAATGAGCATACAATGAAGAAAGATGCCATGGGCATGAATAAAGATGCCAGGGAAAAGGCCTAAAATGCAATGTGTAGATTCTGTAGTGTGATTTTACTTCTTCAGATAATCTCTAGTTAGTAGCAAAACTTACAGACATGAAATGAGGGTATCTTTCATGAGCAAAGAGCCAGAGAGGGTCAATCTCATTCACTCTCCTGCTCTGAATTTTCCCACAGATTCTCACAGAACCATGGAAAATATGACAAATGCCACCTCCAGACACATTTCCATTCCCCCTCCCTCTTATGGATAATTAAAAATAAAACTGTATGAAGGTACAACAGATGTTAGTACTACACAAGATGTATATGCAATATTACCCATTTGATTTTGCACAAAATTGTCTTTTCATAGTAAATAGTTAGTTGGACTAGTAGATTATTGAGAAACATTTCAGAATTCCTTTCTCCAGACCTATTAGCCAGGCAATACAGAATTAATTATGTTAATTGTTGTGGGGTTTTTATTAGCCTATGATGAATTTTATCTAGCTTATTTATATAACTTATGTCATGACAACTGTAGCCAACATACAAACCACCAAAATCAGAAAACTTAAAAGAAATACATATGGGAATTACCTGTGTTGAACACAGATGTAATTAGATATGTTGAGGGGAGAAAAAAAAAAAAGTGTTCCACGTGTTACACACTTCTCACCTTTCAAAGGGAGCAGAGGGAAATTTGTGACTGAATAGTTGTCTGGTTTCCAAAATCAATATGAACTACCATATCACCTCCTTAGGATTAAGACAGCTCACACTGTCAGACACTGCACACAGTGAGGGAAAGATATTTTCTCTCTCCACGAGAGGGCAGATCTCGCCCACACACAATTTCACCCTCATTGTCCCCACCCTGGTGCCAGCAGTTTCCTTCTGCTGTAACTGAGGTGAGTGGAGAAAGTTCTACTGTGGGACCAGGCACCCGAGGGAAACGCATGTTTCTTCTCATGGAGCTAAGAGGTACCATATCATTTTTAACAAGCGTTTCTCTTTGTATTACTGCTTTTAAATTATACTGATATATAAACCACGTATTCTACTGAATTCATAAATATCTAGACATCCTCAAAAAGACTACATAAATAATTTCTATATTTTCATTAAAGACTTTAGATGGAAACAGGAAAATTTTTCATGGATAATTTCAGAATAACAGACATTAGTATAGTTGCTTCCTCTCTTTCTAGTAACATTACAATTCTGCTGCTTTTATGTTCACAAGGAATGCCAAACACAGCTATTTGCATCTTTTGTGGTATGTGACACTTCTGTGGACATATTCAGAAAGAAACAAACAATACCTACATTGACAACACTTCTCCAGCTGCTGTGTCCTGAGCAGGAAAAAAAAAAAACACATTGGGCATTGCAGCTTCAAAAAGGGCAACTAATATTATTAAACTTCTTTTTTCTAGGTCACTAGAAATTGGATATGCCTTCAATAACAGTACCTTCATGAATTTAAGCAGAACTTGCCAATGATGGTCCCATTCTGATGTGCTCTCTTCAGAGGCTACGGAATGGACAGGGAACCTAAAATAAAACCCTAAAATAAAGATGTCCTTATGTTACCTCTTCTCCCTGTACACAACTGTCCTGCTACTGGTCTTTAGAAAGGCAGGAACAGATCTATTGCCACTGTCCTCTGGATTCCCAAATCTTTCTTTCTCTTTCTTAAGCAACAGGGTTGCTTCCTTGAAGAGGCCAGGATATTTGCCTGATGCTTTCTGGCATGGTCTTCAGATAGCTACATGCCGAGGTGCACTCTCTTTGCACATGGCTACATTAAAACACACAAAGGGACAAAACGTGAAAGGGAACACACAATCTGTGTCATGCAGCCTGATGAGGAGAAGCCATGGGTTTTGTCAAAGCCTTTGAGAGCAGTTGAGAGAGCAAAAGATACAGCAGTGCTTGTCCACGTCTTCAGAATATCTGCACTATCAGGTTAACAAAAGAGAGAGAGAGGCTTACTATTCCCTTTATAAATCAATAAAGAACAAAAGTTGAAAGCTTTTGAGGCTTTCTTAGACACTAGCTCCTCAACAGTGATTCTCTGGGCTTATCCACACTTAACACTTCAGCAAACCAAGGCAGAAGGACAAAAATCCCATCTTCATGAGAAGGACTAATGGGATACAATGCAAGAGCACTCTATTTTGCAGGGAGCAGCATCAGTTCATATATATGGCCGCTCACTAACACAGTTGCATGTGTTCAGTTCAAGTACTTATATAGCAATTAAATAAGAGAAAGAGAGAAGAGCTGCTCCAGATGGCAGGACGGTAGGAAGGCATGCCTACCAGCCATGGCCAGACTGCATGGAGAGATGTCTTAATGCAGAAGTGGAAACAAGATGAGGAAACAGAGGCAATAAAGTGCTCACAGTCTGGAACTGGAATTAACCTAAAGCCACTTCTGCCAGAGCCTGCATTTCCTGCCCCAGTTCCAAAACCTGGGAAAAGACAGGGGAAAAAAATTGCTACTGCTACAGACAAATGTTGCACTTGCCTGCGAAGGCACTGAGATAAACCTACTCTCCTATAACCATCTATTAAGCTACATGAGCAAAAAATTAAGCGTAGAGGAAACGTACTCCATGGTACTACTTCTGAAGTTGCCATCTTTCTTCATACCGTGCGTAATTTTTTTCTGACACTCTTTTTTTTTTTTTTCCCCAAATGTTCCATATGTGCTATCATATATATTTGTAAAGTAGAAGG